TGATAGGCTCCTTGCTATACATCATTGAATTCTCAATATCACGATATCCTGAAGTCAATGAAAATAGCAAAGCACATGCAAGCGTCTCCTCCTCCCTTTTAATTCCTGCAATCTGTAAGTCCATGACAAGTTTATTAAACGCATCTAAATGATCTTGTAACGAAGTACCTGACCCCATCTTAAATGTGTGAAGACGCCGTTGTAACAACATTCTTGTTGTCACTGATCGGTCTTGGTATAGCCCTTCTAGCTTTTCCCACAACTGTTTGGCCGTCTCTTCGGTACCCGTACTCACTTCACAAAGCACGTTAGGTGCAAGGGATAGTTGGATTGCACTCAATGCATCCCCTTCAATCTTCTCCTTGTCGGGAGCTGATATATCCGTAGGATACTTTCCGTCAATAGCATGGATTGAACCTTCCCTTCGCAGTAACGCCATCATCTGGATCTTCCAGATTTTGAAGTTGTTGCGTCCATTGAATCTATCAATTTCAAACTTCATGGAACTCATATTTGCTTGTTCTTTCTCCTTGGATCGTTAAAGAATCTTGTCGCTCTGATACCAATTGTTAGCGGAAACGTAAAAGAAAGAACACAAGATTTAACGTGGTTCGGATCAAAATAATCCTACGTCCACCAGAGAACAATTGCCCTTTTAATATTAACAAAGGAAGGGGAGATTTCCCAATTACACTTAAGAGAATTTCTCTCTTAACTCTCTACTCACTACAATGTATTGTATTATTTTGGGATGATTTCTACAAGTGAAGGAGTGCATCTATTTATAGAGGTAAAGACCTCCTCTTGATGTCATTGGTGACATCAAACTACCTCCTCTTGATGTCATGGGTGACATCAAAGGAGGAAGCTTCCTCCTAGCATCCACACCAACTCTTTCCACCAACTCTTCCAATTGGCATGCCATTGTTGACTAAACATAAACCAACATTTTCAGCATGCCATTGTTAACTAAACATAAACCAACATTTTCAACATATATTATTACTTGACATAGCAGTTTCTAGGATACTAGTTTCTAGGTACTTGTATTGCACGTATATTCCTTGTCAATTGATTTAAATTTTGTATAACAATGATAATTTTACTTGCATGTAGACCTATTAAATTTACTTAGATATTTGTTGATTTCGCTCTATATTTCTAAATAATTTTCTAATTATGGAATGTCATGCTGCAAAGCTTTTTTTTCTTCTTCTTTTTATCCACAAATAATTAAGTTCCGAAGCAATTTAGGAAAAGAAAAAGAGGCCTAATGAATCAAGAAATAGTCATATACTGGTGGTGGTTAGTGAATCAAGTTTTATTTTGTTTGACTAATTTTACCGAGATTCTGTTACCTTCTTTTGTAGTTCAACTTTTATGCATGACATAATTGAAAGTTAAAGAGTTTGGATGTGAAGTTGTCTTACAATTACGAAGATACCTGAATGCATGATCCTAGACGGATTAATCACAAATTTGGTTTGCTTCGGAATACATACTCATTATGATTCAAAGCTCTTCTCTAATGTCTCATAAATCTTTGGTATCCATGCATATTAACCTTCAAATAAACTTGTATTTTGGGGCTTTATATCTCTATGACTATCTTAGTATATATGGGTCGAGTGAAGACCGTTTAAAGCAAATAAGAGATGTGTCATGATTATCTGAATAATTTTAATATCTCGTGTCCAAACACTTTGACAAGTCCCAAATATCTCCAAAAATCAGTGTTTGTCCCTAGTTATTTACCGAGTCAATAACAAAGTTATTATAATTAGAGAAAGCTAAAGGAGATCATAAAAGAGGTCATCCAATGAGATCTTACATTAAAGGTAATGATAGAGAATTTTTTCTTGAAGAAATATGCATCATCAGCCATTGTTTATTAGATCAAGTATCACGAATTAGGATAAAGATAGTACAATACTAACCCAGTTGTTTCTCCATTACGCACATAACACAAATAAGGAGTCTATTATCCAATAATGACGAAAATATTCCTCCAATCTGTATGCAAAATTCTTCAATTTTCACTTATCAAATAGGTTAAAGAAAAGGTAAAATTAAAGATCCATATATATAAATGTCACGACCCAAAATTCACTAAGGGTCGTGATGGCGCCGGACGCCGCTGTCAGGCAAGCCAACCAAATTACTTAATTAAATTCTCATTTTAATAATTTTGAAAACTATGATTTTTCCTTCGCATTTACTAGTAAAAGGTAATCATTTCAAATTAAATATGATGTTAAGAGGTTAATACAAGGTACCCAATAATCATCACAGAACCCGGTGTCACAAGTGCATGAGCATGTACTAGGAAGTGCAATAAAATACAGTAAC